ACAAAATAGCTGCATCTAAGACCCTTCAGTTGTCATTACAATGCATTTCCCAAGCTATCATATTTTCCTCCTTCAAATCTGTCAAAAAAGCTCCCGTTTGCTTGCTTTCTGTTAAGTCTTCTGTACAAGCAGGACCATCTACGTTGCTTGTCATGTGTGGTTTACATATGACTTCTCAAACAAGCCCTTTGTAGAAAGCTCAATATCCAAAATCCCAGCACACGTTCCAAAACATGGAGACTGGAGATTTTTGTAGAGTTTTAGTACTACGTGGGACTCTGTTTACCTATATGCCTCTACATTTTTCCTCACTGAGCCTGAATACGTTAACCTCTGGTCTGGATTATGAGGGGGGGGTAAGTGGCATGAAGTGAGCAGCAAGAATTGAATGCAGCTGTCCACGTATGAATGGAGCTACCCACAGCGGGGAAGACAATGAAAGGAAGGAAAAAAGTAGATTCCAGAAGCAAATGGCCTATGGGGCCAGTTGCACTTGCTTCACACTGATTTTGTCTTAAATTTGGCTTGCTCTTGTATATGCCACTTAAATGTTTTGGGAAGACTTCATGTGTAGCAATTACTTCCCTATAAAATTATCAACAGGAGTTTAAGCCTATTTGGTCTTGCTGAAGAAGCCACGGAAACAAAGCACAAGTACTCTGTTCTAAAGCCCAGTCTCTGAATTCAAGAAACTGCAAGTCTTACATTTCAAAATATCGAGTAGGCCGGGGTTAAAAAGAGTATGAGAGAATGCAGATGAAGTCTCGGACCACAAAACACTATGCATGCTCAATGGCAACAGGTAATAAACAAGTGATAAGTCCTTCCTAGTGAAATCCTCCTTCCTTATACAACTTTCTATTTTCAGTTCTAACTAAACTAGATCATAATTCTCAAGATAAGCAGAGGATTTCTTTTTGAGAGGGAGTTACTTGAACTTAATTATATGATGTATCATTTTCCTATGTACACACAGAAAACATACCCACATAAAAATGGCAGGTTAAATTTTATGTAGTTTTAATGCACTTAAGTCATCCAAAAAACACAGCAGTGCCTTCAAGAGTTTAAACGCTACTATCATTTAATTTTTTTATATTGTGCAGCAGTCAAATGACAGAAATATCTCTGCACTGAACAAACCCAAACTAAGCCCTGCATCTTCAGGAAACAAAAGAGATTCAGGTTTGCAAGACGAACTGCACAGCAGCTCAGAACTGCAGGACAGCTATTCTAATAAATAACAATTAGCAGTCCTTCAGTTTTACTATGCTAGATTGGTTAACATCCTCTTTCCAACAAACTTTTTTTTTTTTTTTACTAGCATGCTATTTACATTGATTATAGGACCCTTCAGCAGTGCCTGCTACTAGCCAGTTGACAGATGCTTATTCATACCCCTCAGCATGCTGGCTATGGATATTTATGAGCAATAGCTATGGCTGGGCATCTGCTGCTTGTGAAATACTATTGGCTCAATAATTCTGTCATGGTTTCCACCTGTTCTTCAAAGTCACGGGATAGTTGCTGGTTTTCAACTATGCCAGCTTTATGGCAGCATTAGGACTGTCAGACCATATTTGCTATTCCCACTCAAACATCCTCTTCATTATGGACCTACAGGTTGGCATAGGAAATTCTTAGGATACAGAAAAAGATCCTCTTTCAAGGTAATTTTCTATAGCCTCACTGAGAAAAGCTCAGACAATACTAAATTGACATGACCTACTATATTTGATTTTAGAAACACAAAGGCAAAATACATCTTCTTGCAGTCAGGCAGTGATATTCTCACTGCGAAGTGGCCACATGGATGGGGCTTTTTAATCCCCAACTTCTTTTTCCATACATAAAAACTCATTCTCTTCCAACTGACTTCATCCATCTACTCATCTTTTGAATTTTCTCTCAGCTCAGCTTTTCCTTCAAGCCACCTAGAAATAACAGTTCTTAGTGCTCCTGCCCAGTGCTGCAACTCTTGCTTTTTGTAGTGTCAGCTGCATGAACTCAGATGGACTGCTTTCTCCTACCTGTGTTTTCTCTACTTCGTTTCCAAAGATGCCGCATTGCAACATGGTGTTTTATCAAACTCCCCAAACTTCAAACAGCATTCACAATCTGTCAGCAGGTTTGAGAACCTTCACGTTTTTGCTGTGAATATTGCCAAGCAAGAGAAATTATCCTTTGTGCAATACAGTTGTCCTCTTGGCACAAAGCACTTGATACCTGCCAATCTAATCTGTATGCTTACAAGCATCTCTAGATGCCATTTTCACTTTAAAAGAGTCTTCAGCAATAACACATTCCTCCAAAACAAAGTGTACAAGCCTCCCATACTCTGATAGAAGAGCACAAAAGTTGCAACGTGTCTTGTATTAAACCTATTCTGTACTGACTCCACCAAAATACAGCAGAGAAAGCAAAATCATTGCAGAACCAGAGGCAGCTAAAAAGTTAGGAAGTTCACAAATTGCAGACTTGTCCTTTCCAAGCAACAGAATCCTTATGGGAACAGAATCAAATTTCTATTTTCTCTGGGGATAAGTAAATCTAAAAATAGTTTCTGACAAGGGGAAAGCTACAGAGCTAGTGACCAGCAGATACCCATGTTTTGCCTCAGGCACTAGTGCAAGGAAAGAAGAGAGTGAAGGTAAGCACACGTCGTCAGGGACAGAACCATAATACATGGATTGTTGAACAGCACAGGGACGATTTCCACAGAGATTTGCAGTGTTCACCAACAAATAATGTTAAAGAAAATGAATTAGAGAAGAGCTAAGGATTAAAATACATGAAGTGTTCCATGCTTAACCCTATGTGGGACTGTTCTGCTAACCTGAATGCTATTTTTAAAATTAGGCACCGCAAAAGCTTCTTTGTTTTGACTTCACTGGCTAGAAAAATACAGATGCTTGAGTTTCCTAGTATATGTGCACTACAAGAAAAGAATGGTGAAAAAAATTTCCAATTTGCTCTCCAGTGCATCTGGATTTTTTTTAACTGCTATGTTAATGCAGTGAAAAACAGTTTTTCATAACATTAAATGATGATTGAGAGAAATTTGTCTCTTTCAAGACTTACATACACAGTATAATGTTCTCCCCCTTTTGTTTTAAGGAGTGCTATGCTCTGGTCAGCAATATTATCTTTCTCATTTCAACTCAGGTTGAAAGCAGTTAAAAAAAGGGAGGCACAGGGCCCAAATAAAGGAAGGGAAACCACAAATTGCAATGGATGGTGTTAACAAAATAAGAAACTGAACAGCTACGTTTTTAATTCCCTTGGGGAAAAAAAGTGATGAGTGCTTTAAAAATATGAAAAATACTGTATTTTCCAGGTTCTGAACTTCCACAGAATGCAAACAGTGGACTGTAAGTCATATGTGGTCTACTCTCCTGTTCTAGCAGAAATAATTATTTTTCTGACAAGAACTAGTCAATTATAATAGATTTGAATTTTTGTGCTTTAGTGGGATAAAAGTGTCAAAGTATTTTCTAATACTAGGAAAATGTGACATTACATATAAATTACTAGACAGTTCCAGCTATTAGTTTTACACAAACAATTTTTTCAGCAGAGGGACTGCAGTGTTATTAAAGTAGCAGTGATACCAGATCTTGTTAGCTGTTGCAAAACACTGAAATCTACTTCTCAGCCTACAAACTGCTTCTTTTCATAACCAAAAGTTTTATATAACCAGATGTTTGGGGTTTTTATGTGATTTTGCAGTCCCAAGGTCTGTTCTTCATGCAAGTGCAACTCTGAAGTCTTGCAGTCTTAGCAGATAATACTCGAGATACCAGTACTCACAGCTGTCTTGCTAGTGGTGAAGACTGAGACTCGTTACAGGAAATAAGTAGCATGTTAATTCAAACAGACTTTCCAGCCTGTGAATGAACTTCAGAAAAAAGGTTAGTATACAGATATTTTAATTTCAGAAACTACAATGTCTAAGGAATGTTTTACCATAAAGCTTGACAACACACTGCTAAAACTTTTTGATGGGTTGGAAAAAGTTAGGCTAGTAAAACTCATGTGACTGTAGCAAGCCGTCTGAAATGCAGCAACAGATCTATACTGAAAATGAATACAGCTAGCCAAAGCAATAAAGAAGAAAAAGGCCTCTAAGCAAAGTTTCTATCCTGTGAGAGCCTTTTCATTCCATTAATTAGTCAATGTTTTACACTAATTCACTGAAATGCAAGACAATATACTGGTGTATTGATTGCGCTTATTTTATAGTGGATCTCTTCCTGCAGTGGTACCTCCATTGTAAGATACCTGGAATAGATGGAATTATGTTATTGAAATCTTTCATAAGAAGATGAAACACACTGAGCAGTTAAGATATAATGTAAAACAACTTCCCTTTATTCGCATTTCCTAATCTTAGTCTTCATTGTACAAATAAATCTGCTGTGCAAAATAGTTTATAAAAGACTAAAAAAGGTTTTTATTGTAAAAAAATAAAGTTTCTAGATATACAGTTACTTTGCACTATCACAAATATTGTCCAGTATTTAACATTTAAATTTAATATCACAATACTCAAGTCATGTAAACCAATGATCCTACTGGTAAGAGCCACTACTGAAACTCAGGTTCACTAGGGATTTATTAAATATTTTTCTCTTTTTGTATCTACACCCTTACACAACTCTGATGACCCATACTTGAATTGCACTCATATAATGAAATTAGACATTGGGTCATCCTTTCCTCCATTATCAGGTAAAAAATACCAAGTTAAATGGTAAATTTAGTAAATGGTAAATTTTAGTAAATCCTGGCAACACATGAGGTACACAGTCCAGTCACAGAACAACAAAGGTCCCCGAAACTAGATTTGAACTTTGCTGAGAAGCAGTGTAAAGGCAGCCTACACTGGATTTCGGACACGTGCATCTTGATTTCTGCCAGCATCCAAGACAGTTGGCTTAAAAACCAGCTCTGATCTCTCTATGCTGCAGTGCAGCCACAATCACTTAAGCATGAAATGCCTCTAAGAAATTTTAATACAGTCACCTGAGCCCTCATTGTTCCAATTCGCTTTCATTCTGCAAGGTCTTCATGGCTAAACCCCAGAGGGTCATGCTGGAGAAGAATGGTCCTTCATTATTCTTGTAAGCAGCAGATGATGTTCGACTGCTTAGCGGATCATTACAATGACTGTCCAAGCTAACCATAGAGGAACGAATCATGGGAGCATTATCAGACTGTAAGGGTTCTTCTGCAGAAGATACATCTACATCTGCATAAGCATATGGTGGTGGTGGAGGAGTTTGCTGTGTCTGAGCTTTTGGGAGCTTAGCAGAATCCACATTCAGTTTCCGTTGGTTTGCTGAGTCATGGTGTTGAATCATTGATCGCAACTTACAGTAAGAATCTGCAGAACCATCATATTCAGTTGAATTTGCAGTTGGACGAATGGGAAATTTAACAGACACTGGTAACAATGTAACAGACATTTCTTGGCCAAAAGAGTCAGACCTCTGAGATTTGTCAAGGTCAGAAGTTTCAATCCCTTGAGAAAATTCATCTAGAGTGTTTGGACTTTCATCAGTGGCTTTACAATGCATTTTCTTGTGCCGCCGTAGGACAGCAGAGCGAGTGAAGCATTTGTTACAAGTTTCACAGGTATAGGGTTTTTCTCCTGTGTGAGTCCTCACATGTCTACGCAGGTCACCAGAGCCTGCAAAACATTTCAAAAATAGCTTAAGATTTTGTTCTTAACACAAGTCCATGGACATGTTTTAATTAGAGAAAATATCAAGTGATAAGGTATGGTATGTCCCAGTCATGGTACTTTATCTAGAACAAGTTCAAACAAGTTCAATCTATTTTTACAATTCAATGACTCGTTTCTTCTTCTTGATCTGATTTTCTAATTTGTGTTTCCCAGTGCTTTAGTGTTTTTCTCCAGAGACAGGAATATCCATTAGTATTTGAAAGCTGTGAGTGCTCTCAGTTTATATCAATCTTCGTGTAGGAAAAAAAAATTTAAAATAATCAATTTAATTCATCTGTCTGGAAAAACAGTATGCTCATAAGCTTCTAAATATATTCTTCCAGTGAGAGCTGCATCATAGAAAGTAAAGATTTGTTCATTACCAAGGAACTATTCTTAAAGCGTTGACAAAGGTAGCTTTTTTGTTAACTTTGAGTTAACGTAATGCAGCAGTCCATTTTTTATATTCCAGCCAGAGAATGTGTCAAAACTGTCATTTTTTAATTGCTGTTAATATTAGAATAAAGTATTCAACTGTTTGCCTATTTTCAGAACCACAGGCTCAAATAAGGTCAATTACCATACTGCAAAGAAAAAAGCGAGACTGAAGCAAAACTTCAGTGTAGAAGAACAAGCAGAACAAGAGAGTATTGATTTCCAGAACTGCTACATGAATCAGACACCTCACATTCTTTACGACAGTAGAAATAAGCTGGTACCTATTTGTGATTTTATCTCATTTTACCTTGGTTAAAGATTATTTTATTTTGTGTGGACAGGTAACAACTAAAATGAACTGTATTATCTGAAAGCCCAGTAAAACCACAGTCTCAATTTTCGGCATCATACTTTTCATGCTACGGCCCAGACTTCTCTTCAAAAAAGCCATTAACAGTAAGATTACAAATTACTGGAATTATTACTGTGGATTTTTTTTTGCGTAACGTGAATGATTTCTTAATGCTCGATCAGATCCTCTTTGCACAATTTTTGATTTCCCACTACAAGATGACCTGGCTAAAATGAAAAATAATCAAAAGATCCCAATAAGTCAAGAAGAAAATAAGCCTATTTTAATGGCAGCAGGACAACTGTTTGTTTATACTTTCATATCCTGCATGTCTGTATTTCCTCTCTCTGATGCAAGACATCCTGATAATATTAGGTCTTCTTGTGCCTCAAGACATTACAAATAAAATATACTGCAGGTGGACTTTCTTATATGGAGCTACCCTCCTCCAATGCTGATCCCTCAGAACATGAATGAAATTATACCAAAACAGCACTTAAGGGCAGAAAAGTACGTAGTATGCAAGATGCTAAGTAATATATGAGATAAAGATGTACAATGCAACTTCTGGGAACTATATTATACAAGGATGAATCTTTGATCAAAGAGCCATTTTCAGGACAGCTGTGAAAGTATGACCTATCTAGCAGATTTTGAAAGTTGGTGTTCACTGGTATGAAGCACTGATCGAGTTTTTACTTTATTACAGAGGTTGATGCAAAGTAGCAAAAGGTTGTTATTGTCAGCATCTATGGCTGAATGCAGTTAAACCTGAACAGTATTCAGCTGGGGCAGGGGGAGGGGGGGGAGAAGAAAAAAAAAAAAATCCATCGCTAGCCAAGTGATGCCAAACCTAGCTTCCCATCAGAAAGGACTATACTGAAACTAAAACAAAACAGCTAGTATCAGTACTTCTCTAGCAAACACGTACATATCCTGTGTTGATTCCTCTTATTTCCCTTCTCTATTCCTCAAATGAAATGCACTTTTGAACTTATTTACAACAGCTAAAGGAGTTAAATACACCAAAAGAAAGACTATGAAGCATGCAAGACAGAAGATTTTGTGAAAAAACTTTCACAACATGGAATTTCAATTTGAAATCATTTCAGTTAATTGTTACTCTGCTGACATAGGAACTTTTACTTATCATTTAAAAAGCAAAGATACAACCAAGCTATGTACAGTAAATCTTACCACATGCTGAACAGCTGTACGGTCTCTCTCCAGTATGCCTAATTCTGTGCTTTACTAATTTTCGTTGCATGTTGAATGACTTCCCACATTCATCACAGGTGAATACTTTATCTGCTGTATGGGTCTTTTTGTGCTCCTTTAAATTACTGAAGTTACTGAATCCTAGAAAAATATGACAGACACTTAGATTAAAGTGACTCCTCATATTTCAATCAAAAAAACCTGAGGCAGAAACTTCTATTCTTATATACCTCTGCCACAGATATCACACAGATGAGGCTTTTCTCCAGAATGAATAATAATATGGCGCTGAACATCACCAGAAGCAGCAAATCTACAACAGAATACGGAAAGCCAATTATTTGTCTTTATAAGCCCCTTATTCTCCTAAACTGAGTATCATGTGGAAATCAGCTATAATGAATGCCTGATGTTCTGAACAAAGATTAAAACCCAAAGCACAGATAAATGGATGCAGTTAAGAAAAACATTCTGAAGCTGGCAGTGTCCCATTTAATTTATGCTACAGAAAAAAACCCCCAAAACTCCTTTTCATCATTAATGTTAAACTAAGTGAAATGCAGAATAAATTATTAAGTACAAATGCTACTCCTAAATCAAGTGTATTTTCTGTCACCTGTTATCAGAAGGCAGAAATATTTAATGCTTTGCTTAAATTAAGTTTCCCATACTGCACAATTTCCATAAAATGTAACAAAAATTGTATGACCAAATAATAAAAAAAAAAAGTGAGGGAAAGGTACAAACCCTCATGATTTGTTGTGACTCACACTGTTAAAAATACACACAACAGTATAACCTTAACTAAAGATAACAATATACAAAAAATTAAGACCACAGACTATATATGTGGTGACATGTTTATCTTATCATTGCGATCTGCAACAAGACACCTGCAGATATTTATTATTTTAATCCCATCAGTATACATTTAAACCCAATGCCTTTTAAACAAAATTGAGCAGCATGCTGCCTTAGCTCTTGGCCCTTAGTTTATCATGAAGATTCAAGAAAACTTGTTCAAGTTTTTCCATGTTAACTTTACTAAGATGAACAATTTACTCACCTTTTCCCACAGATTTCACAAATGTATGGCTTTTCACCAGAATGTCGACGTAAATGTGTCTGGAGATTACCTGCCTGAAGGGACAGTAATTTAAACATTTAAATTCAGCTAGCCTGTTGTCGTATACAGGTAAAATGACGATGCGAATTACGAGACTGACTTTTTATTCCTAATTCTAAGGCAGTGAGGACTACAATGCGTGTATGAACTCAAGCATTCTTACCTAGTAAAGACAGACTTATGTATTCCAAGATCAAATTACTTATGTATGCAATTATACATTGACAAGAACAGAAAAAAAATAAAAAAGAAGCCTAGAATCAAATGCTAAGGAAAAAGAAAGACCTATAGTTGAAAACAGATCCAATTAGAAATTAAAATTATACTACCTAGACTGCAGTGAAGAAGAAAACTTCCTAGTAATATGGTTCATGGTAGTCTCATTTTCCCTGTCCTACAAATAGAATACTGTTACATCAGGATCTGAATTCACCTACCAGGAGGTTAAAAGGAAAAGAAGAGGGTAAACATTTTTCAATCCACAAAATAACTCTGAGCCAAGTGCTCCAAACCTATATTTACTCATATCAAAAGAAAACAGAACAGGAAGTACAGGAACGAACAAATGGGATTACTGGTAACTAACTTTTACTACATATCTTTCCCAATCCTGTAAAAATCATGCTAGTCTGGCAGGCAAACCAGATAATGACTAGACAAAACCATCTCACTCATTCTAACTTTAAAAAAATTTTTTTAAAGCCACTAGTGTTTCTGAATGGCTAATCCACTGACAGTTCAGTTCTCAAAGCACAAGATACAGCTAGTCTGGATAGAAAAGCTGCCGATGTTCCATAAATTGTGCATACTTCCATGGTCAGTTTTTAACCCTTCCATTATCTTTGATGCTGCCTGGTTTTATCTAAGTACACTAAAGGAACATTAAGTTCTTTCAATCAGGAAAAAATTGGGGATGCAAAGATTATCATGTCCACCTTAATCACAGTAAGGCAACAAAAACAAGACTCATCAGTAATTTCTTCCAGCTCCTTTAGATAATAAATTACCTGTGATGATCAATCACTGTAATCAGAGCTTATAACATACCAGAACTAAAGTACTGCAGACACACAGACACAGAGGACATTAAATGGATCACCATTTGAACCCTAACAGAGCTTTCTTCAACCCCTGTAAAGTTTTCCAGACAACAGCAGGACTGAACCACTGTTCTCTCAGGCCAAACTTTATGACACCATAATCCATTCAAAGAGGGGCAGCAGGCACCTATTTCTGAAGAAGGAGAAGACTAAACTGACTTCTCTGTGGAGCTATTTGTGTTTCTGAAAGACAAGGAATTTTATGTAGAGGTGCATTTGAGAGAAACAGACATAAGACAACAGACAGAACTTTTACCTGTATCCACATCACAAAAACAAACCATATCATAGGCTTCTGAAAGTTATTCTGGATAAAGACAGAGTGTGAATCCGAAGTGCAACAATTATTCTGAAATAGTTCCCATATAGGCATTTTTAGCCAGAATAAAAACACTTCAAAGACAGTAGCAAGTAGATCCATTTTTTTATTACAAGCTTATGTCACCTCCTCCTAAGGAGGGCAAAAGCTTGTTATTAACTGTGCTGAGACAAAAAAAAAGTAAAAACATCAGTAACCTGTATTCCTCCTAAGCTTTTAAGGTGGTACACAACCTTGGTTAAGGTATAGTATGCCATCCCAATGAAAAAGCATGAGGGCTTCTGCTACCATTCAGTGCAGGAAAAAAAGTGCTCAGAAGAATTCTCTTACTGATACCAGTTGCATACCACTTCTCACAAATTTGGGGACTAGAGAGATATACTAGACTTAGTCCATTTGTAACTGGCATGCTTTTAGAGTGCAGGAACTAATGCACACATATGCTCCTCCAAAAGAAGCTCTGCAGGAGGGAGTGAAGAGGCAAAACCTGATATCCTGCATCAGCAGCCAGAGAAGGACCATGTAGCAACAAGCTATGTCCTAGTAGTAAGGGAAGATCATAGAATCACAGAATGGTTT